GTAGGGAAATGATTCAGTTTCTGTCAGTAAGATGAAATGGATTTCAATTAAAAAAAAATTAACATAATAATCGTAAGCACTAATAGTGCAGAAGATGAGCCAAATATTCTCATCCTTAAGTTATAGTAGGCTACAAAAGTGATAGTACTAGTAATTATGGTACAAACTAATTCTAATTTCTTCCCCCTTTTTTGCACAAATTTATGAATGTCACATAAAGTTCCCATGAAATGAGCCAAAATATTAGAAAACGGTTCTTCTTTTTCTGGTACATGAAAAGGACAAACAGGGCCAGTAATAATTAGCTGCCAGCCTGCCATGCAAAATCTCAGTTATGTAACAATCTTTCTATTCCATTGCTGATCCCCAAATCTGCTAAAAGTGGTCAAGATCATTATTTTGGACTTTGCAATTATTTTCCTTGACACATTAACAAAATTAACAACTAACTGCGAGGACTTGTGATATGCACATGGTAACCAAGTGCTCCCACTTCTACATCCCAGCTTTCTGCATAAAGGGATTTCTTGCGGATCAGAAGAGAAGGAAAAAATACCAGAGAAAAGTGAGAAAAAACTGTTAATTATATGTCTTTTGTCAATAAGAAAGGTTAAAACCACAACTAGAAAGTTTAACCTATATTTTTATGTATCTATCTCTTCTCCAATCATTAGACCGACAATGATAAAATTGAACTTAAATTCTTATCTATCTCAAATCAAACCACTATGTTGATGCTCATAGTTCATAAATATACCATACTAGTATACCACTGCTTAGATTAGAGGGATAATTGTGATTTAGGTCAAAATTAATTTTAGTTTTTTTTTATTTTTGAAAATAACAAATTTGATCTTTATATTTTTATAATTGATGAATTTCATCTTCATTCTGATATCATAAATTCTACAGAAAAATTCAATAATTATATAAAAAAAAAGGAAAATTAACTAAAATCATGGTTTTTAAAATAAAAGAACTGAGATCAGTTTTAAATTTTTAACGTAAAATTAAGAATCTTAAAATACATTTTATCCTATATTATTATTATACCTCATGAGGGATTGGATAACGAGAAGCAGAAATGTTCCAGAAGGACTTCACACTATCCCAAGAATCATTATCAGCTTGGTCTGCCTTTCTGATCTTGAGAGCATCCATTGGCAAAGGAGGAAGCACAACCTCACATATGCTTGCTAGTGACTCCATCTCAGAAACAGAAAATCCATGTTTGTATTTGGTATCCCCTTTTCTTCCCCTTAACAATGGATGACACTCCTTTCTCATATCTCTGTGATCAGTGATCACTGATGATGTTGATCACCAGCTTATGCAAGAACTATATATATGATATGAAAAGGTTTAGTGGATTGTGTCTTTGATCATGCATATATATATATATATATGCACATTGAAATAGAATGCAAGAGAGAAATAATTTATTTTGTGAAAATAATTGTTGAGAGGTGGAGGTGAATAAAATGAAAGAAAAGGATGCATGTAATTGACCACATATATTTTTTTTATTATTATCTTAATGATGTTTACATTTTGGGTTGTGGGGCATAGGAGAGGGAGATGGTCCACACTTTTATTAAACTTTCAAAGCTTTTGATATCATGGCTTCTACCTGTTAATTAAATGGGTAAGTTGCACGATTGGGTGTCTAACTAACTTGGTGCTAACATTTGAATATAATTTCTTTTTAAAAAAATACATACAAATTCGAATATGATCACTGTAGAATAGATACTATAATGAACATATGTTAATGAATGAAGCATCTTAATATTTAAAGAATGTTTAATATTTTTTCTACTAAAAATTAAAAATTATTTTAGAAAACAGTAAATATGTTATAAAAGGAAGAAATATAGAGAGAACAAATAAGACAATGTGAGATAGAGAAAAGATTCTTATTAGTGTATTCTCTTTGGGAGAGGAGTAACCTATTTACAAGTACATGTGGTAACTGAACAATTACACAATAAAGGGAATAATACATAATAGACATATAAATGGTAATGATTGATAATGAATATTGGCATCCACTAATTAAGCTACTAATTATTATTCATAACACTTCCCCATCTCACCATGGTCGAGCACAGCCTGGCTGATCTCACCATGGCCGAGCGCACCCTGGCCAACCATACCCAGGCCGAGTTCGTCCAGGGGGTGGGTGAGATCGCGGTCTGACTCATCTTACCCATGTGAGAGGTGCTTGGGTTGAAAACACAATTTGTCAAGGATTTCCCGGTAACTGTGGCTTCAGATAAAAAACTCCTAATCACTAGGAAGTGTGAACAGACAACATGGAGATTCAGTGATCATACATTTACAGCAGACTTCTTAGTGTTACCTAGCAAAACATTCGGGATCATCTTGGGAATGCAATGGTTCAAGACACTGGGAGAAATTTACTGGAACTGTGCAACTCTTACTATGAGATTTAATCATCAAGGCCAAGAGGTGACATTGCAAGGTGAACAACCAAGTGCAGAAGTTCAAGAATTGACTGGGAAGCTTAAAATGGTCCAAAGTAGCTGCATGTTTCTTGCATTGCACGGTTCAGCTTTACTGAATGTTGCTGATACAGGGGATCAAGAGACACTAACAACAGAACAACAACAGGAACTCACAACACTTCTACAGCAATTTCAGCAGTTATTTGTGGAACCAACAAAATTGCCACCTAGGCGGAAAAGTGATCACAAGATCATTCTGATCAACGACACACCGGTTTGTTTGAAACCTTATAGATACCCACATGCCCAAAAAGAAGAAATTGAAAGACAAGTGCAGGGATTATTAGAAAAGGGATTTATACGGGAAAGTACTAGCTCTTATGCTTCTCCCTTGGTGTTGGTCAAAAAGAAGGATGGCTCATGGAGGTGTTGCACCGATTTTAGAAAACTTAATGCATTCACCATCAAGAATAAGTTCCCTATGCCATTAATAGAGGATTTGCTGGATGAATTAAATGGGGAATGTTACTTTTCCAAACTGGATCTCAGAAGTGGGTATAACCAAGTAAGAATGGCTGAGGAGGATATACATAAAACAGCTTTTAGAACCCACAGTGGACACTATGAGTGGGTTGTTTTGCCTTTTGGTTTATGTAATGCTCCTGCCACATTCCAATCAATCATGAATGATATTTTCAGAAGTTATTTAAGGAAGTTTATTTTAGTATTCTTTGATGACATATTAGTCTATACCCAGACCTGGAGTGATCATTTGGAATGCTTGACTACAACATTACATATTTTGGAGGAAAATGCCTTGGTGGTCAACTATAAAAAAATGTAGTTTTGGGAAGAAGAAAATAACGTATTTGGGCCATGTGATTTCAATTCAAGGGGTACAACCAGACAATGACAAGATTTCAGCAATTCAACAATGGCCAACACCAACATCAGTTAAGGAATTAAGAGGATTTTTAGGTCTCTCAGGCTATTACAGAAGGTTCATCTTGAATTATGGAAAGATTGCCGCACCATTAACGGAATTGTTGAAAAAGGAGAAGGCATTCAAGTGGACTGAAGAAACAGCGGTTGCATTTCAAAAGCTTAAACAGGCACTCATGTCTGCACCAGTATTAAGGCTGCCTGACTTCAAACAACCTTTCACCATTGAGACAGATGCATCGGGGGGAGGCATTGGGGCTGTTCTTCTGCAAAATGGGCACCCTATTGCGTACATCAGCAAAGCAATGGGACCTAAATACAAGTTATTTTCTGCATATGAGAAGGAGTTCTATGCAGTCTTATTTGCTATAAAAAAATGGCAGCACTACTTATGGGGACAACATTTTCTCATAAAGACTGATCAAAAAGCTCTTAAGCACTTATTATTGCAGCCTCCAACTACGTTGATGCAAAACTGGGGTCTAGAGAAACTTATGGGCCTTGATTTCAGCATAGAATACAAAAAGGGGAAGGAGAATGTGGTGGCCGATACATTGTCAAGAGTGGGACAGAATGCAAGTGTAGCTGCAATACTACATTTTTCATCTCGTTTAATGACTGAAGCCATTGAATCTTGGAAGACAGATCCAAAATTGCATAAATTGGTGGATAAGATACGACTTACACAGCAGCCTTATAAGCACTACACGTTTCAAGGTGTTCTGTTAAAAAGAAAAGGTAAAGTGGTTGTAGGTGCTCAACAGGACTTAAGAAACAAAATTCTCAGTCATTTTCATGATTCTTCCATTGGTGGACATTCGGGAGTGGACCTTACCTACAGAAGAATTAAGGAACAATTTTATTGGAAAGGATTACAAAGGGATGTAAAGCGGTGGATCAGGGAATGCGCCACTTGTCAAAGGTTCAAATGAGTAAATCAGTTACCTGCAGGGCTCCTTCAACCTCTGCCTATACCTAATAGAGCTTGGAAGTCAATCTCCATGGACTTTATCACCGGGTTGCCTAAGTCTCAAGGGATGAGTGTCATACTAGTAATCATAGATAGATTCACTAAGTATGCTCATTTCATAGCTTTAGGACATCCATTTAGTGCAGCAAAAATAGCAGAGTTATTCATGAACACAGTGGTGAGATTGCATGGCTGGCCAGAGGAAATCATTTCAGATAGAGATACAATTTTCTTAAGCAACTTCTGGACAGGGTTGATGCAGTCACATAGTGTTAAGTTGTTAAGATCCACAGCTTTCCATCCTCAAACTGATGGACAGACAGAGAACCTTAACAAGTCTTTAGAAGCTTACTTGAGATGTGCTACAGGAAGTATGCCCAAACAGTGGACAAATCATCTAGCAATGGCAGAATTATGGTATAACACCAAGTTCCATACAGCCACCCAAATGACACCTTTTGAGGCCTTATATGGTTATGTTCCTTCGATGCCCAATTTAGTGGACAATGGAGAGACGTTAATCGAGGCAGTGGAGTATACGGTGAAGACAAGAGAGCAGATTGGAAGAATGTTACAAGAAAATCTCTATAAGGCTCAAGAGAGAATGAGGATGTATGCAGACAAAAAGAGGACAGACAAAGAATTTAAGGACGGTGATCTTGTGTACTTGAAGATTCAACCATTTAAGCAGCACTCTTTGGCAAATACATCTTTTCACAAGCTTTCAGCTAGGTACTATGGTCCTTACAGGATTATTGAAAGAATTGGGAAAGTAGCATACAGATTGGACCTTCCTGCGGACACCAGAATTCACAATGTATTTCATGTGTCATTATTAAAGAAGCACCATGGCAGCCATGTAGTTTCAGAACAATTACCCAGATTTAATGAAGAAGGAGACTTATTGATCAAACCATTGGCCATATTGGATAGAAGAGTGAAGAAGAAGAATAATAAAGCTATTACTGAAGTATTAGTACAGTGGGAACACACCAACCCTGAGGATGCAACATGGAAAGAATTACATGAGTTGCAGATCCAATATCCGGATTTTAAGTGGCAAGTGGAGTAAAGACTTGGGGACAAATTTATACCATAATTCTGCCATTGCTAGATGATTTGTCCACTGTTTGGGCATACTTCCTGTAGCACATCTCAAGTAAGCTTCTAAAGACTTGTTAAGGTTCTCTGTCTGTCCATCAGTTTGAGGATGGAAAGCTGTGGATCTTAACAACTTAACACTATGTGACTGCATCAACCCTGTCCAGAAGTTGCTTAAGAAAATTGTATCTCTATCTGAAATGATTTCCTCTGGCCAGCCATGCAATCTCACCACTGTGTTCATGAATAACTCTGCTATTTTTGCTACCTATGGACAATTTAGATATTTTTATGATTTTAATTGATGTATCAACTAAATGGGTCACATGTGTGTTTATTATCAACTTGTAACCATGTGTTTGCAAGATTATTAACTCAACAAATTATATTAAGAACTCATTTTCCTAATTATCCAATTAAAAAAACATTTCAATATATAGTTAATTCACATCTTATACTTTTAATGAGTATTGTATATCTATTGAAATTGATAATGAACATCTAGTAGTACAAGTTCATACATAATGGACTTGTTGAATCATTCATTAAACATTTAAAATTGATTGCAAGACCATATTTTCATAAAATCAAAACTTTCAATGTCAACTTGGGAGCATGAAGTCTTGCATGTTGTAGTATTATATTGTACCAGGGCAACAAACTATTACAAATTCTCCCTTTTACAATTGGTTTATGATGAACAACCTAGTATTTCTCATTTAAGAAGATGAGATAACAATAATTTATTCCACTCACTAGTGAAGAATGAGGCTTTTACGCCACCTCTTTCTCATCGGACTTAACAAAAGCTGACATAAAAAAGAAGCGGTGGCATTTTTATAATTTTTGTGAAATTTTTTACGTTGGACCTGGTAGGGTCTGACGTAAAATGTAAAATCTACGTCGGACACAACATACAACCGACATAAATTTTACATTTTACGTCGGACCCTACCAGG